AAGTGCACCGATTCATCAAAAGTTCTTTACAATTCGTAATTCTTGCCTTCGACAAAGAAGAAAAGGGTTGGCCCCTTTTGGTCGACCATGCTTCCACCCCCCCCCTCCCCCCGGTCGTCCCCATATACTCTCTCTCTGTCTCTCTCTCTCTCTCTCTCTCTCTCTCTCTCATTCGCTCCTTATACTTCACTCCCTTAACTTCGACGCCTTTTCCCTTATTCTCTCTGTCCTTCCGGTCGGCACGCGAGATTTTAAATTTAATAATTCTTCTCCCACGGCCGCCAATTATCGGGAGGAAACCATTACGAGTCGACGGGACTGCACGGAATTATTTAATTTCGCGGAACAAAGCACGCGCCGCTCCTCTTCGCGTTTCTTCGGCCCTCGTGTAAGACTCGTGGGCGACTCTTTAAAGCCTATCTCTTTCTCTTTATCTCTTCTACGTCTCTCCTCGTCTCACTCCCTCTCTCCGTCGGTCTCTCGCGTATCCTTGTGTCTTCTCTTGGCTTACTTTTTTTTTTCTTCCTCTTTTCTCTCTCTCTCTCTCTCTCTCTCTCTCTCTCTTGGGTTATATATGCACTTGTGCTGATCGAACGTTAAAAGTATTTTACCCGTTAGGAGGATTCGTGCTGGACAACCGTGCTTCCTGCTTGGCCAGCCAACAGACTCGCACATGTATGTACAACGTATGTAGGTATAGTACGAGCAACGTCACTAATAAATGTTGCACGCGGCAATTACGCAAACAATAAGTATCCACCCTATTGTATCGCATATTAATTCGATTTTAATTGCAACGGGAAAGAAGGCATACGGTGCCCGAGGACACGAGGCGCCGTCCGTGGGACTTACGAATAGTCTTGCACCGTGGTGTTTGCGTGGCCATTTATTTCGAGGGTTTTTAATTATTTTTTATAAATTTTTCTACCGAAAATTCATTGGTACACGTGCCTCGGAAATCATTGTCAACCGTATCGACTGATTTTTATCGTCGATCCATTCCCGTCGCCCTCGATATCTTATAACCGATGCTCAAGTAATTGACTGGATCGGAAAAGCGTGAGTGCTTGTCGAAGTTTTCTATTTAGCGTAAATTATATTTTTATCGAAACTCCCCGGGTCGGAGGTATGGGAAAGATATTTTAACGGACGAAGAAGAAAGAAAGTAACGCGAATCGAAAAAGGAAACCGAGTTATTTTTATTAAACGTTGGAATTCCCCGATGAATCGTCGATTGAATAAAAGATGAATCAGCCGGTAGCCAATGTGCACGGACGGGCGGCAGAAGTGAGTGAGTAGAGCCAGCGAGAGAGACAATGAAAAAAGGGAAAACGATAGGATAGCTTCCGTCTAGCGCACGGGGGTAAAGGGCTCGGATAAGAATGTCGATATTAATAAAAGTTAAATTGAGCCAATCGCTTGTGGGAATTAGAACGGAGTGCACTGCCGCCGGCAACGGAGAAGCGAGATGAAAAGGCAAACGGAAGAGATCAGAAAAAATGTAAAAAAAGACCCTCGATACAGGCCGAGGCATCCCACTTCATAAATCTCATTCATCGTAGGGTCAACCGTGTGATTTTACATTTGCATCAAAATATGCAAATGCATCGAAACCCTTCAATTAACCTCTCGCCATACTTTGTAATACATATTAAAGAAAAATAATTTTGTAAAAGTCATCGTTACGATACTCCGTAGGAACTGTTAAAAATTATTTTTAGGAATTTTTTTTTTCAACTATTTTATTCCAATAAGACCCGCATACGCTACAGCTAGTATGTAAATGCCAGTGAAACAAGAGTTACATAACTTTGGACCAGACACTCCTATCAAGGGATTTCGGCAGATGTATAATGAATTCTCAATCGAGCTGTATGCTCTATTATAAGTAGGCTTAAGTAAATTCTTTATTTATTGCATGCGATATTGACATTCGTAATCTGTTTACAGGCGAAAGACCGTACAAGTGCCATCTTCCGGATTGCGGGCGAGCCTTTATCCAGCTGTCGAATCTTCAGCAGCATTTACGTAACCACGACGCGCAGGTGGAAAGGGCGAAAAATCGACCATTTCACTGTAGCATATGTGGCAAAGGCTTCGCCACGGAATCCAGTCTGCGGACGCACACGTCGAAGGTCAGTCATGTATGTACCGAATCCGACGTCCAACGATTTCACTGATTTAATAAGTCAACGAGGAGACCGACGACGTCACAATAGCCGGCGCACGAGATATATAACGAATAGATTAATTATTATTAACGTCTTACCGGACAGCTATAGAAATTAATGAAGATTACCGATTCGATCTCGTGCAACCCGTGCCGACTGGCGATCGTTCGCGCTCGCTCGTTCGCGTACGTAGCGAAAGGACACGAGATGATTAGAAATTTTGAAAAAAAAAAATCATTTCTGCGTCTTGTATTGTCGATGCGAAAAATGTTATTTTTTTTGGATTTTTTAATTTAATTTTTTTTTTTTCCTAACAAGACGATTACGTAGATTTCTCTTGACTTTCTTTTCGTCTCGTCTCTCGTCTCGAGAGAGGGTCTCTTCTCATGGTGGTGGGTCACGCTTGCATAAACGCGTATACGTATTACTGTACCCGGGACCTCCTGCTCTATATTGCTTTCGGGCTTTTCTCACAACCCCTTTCTTCTGTGCACTTTCATCTTCTGGGATTTTCACGTAAGGCTTGTGCTACCTAGGGATTACTGTACGATTTTACATTCACATTAAGTACGTGAGATCGTGTGAGACTCTTATGGAATCTGCTCCTTTGAAGCTGATACACTTACGGGGTATACTTGGTAATGCTTAAGGTTGTTTGGATACGTGAAAAAAAAAAAAAAAGTTTTTGAAATATACAAAATTTTTATGAAATATAAAATATAATTTTGAAGTATATGGGAATATAGTAGAGAGTAAATAAAGAAATGGTATGATGGGAGGCAAATGAGATGATCGTATCAGGACGTACCTGGCTTTGAGGTTGGAAGGACTTGGTTAGTGGTTAATCGATGGGCTGAGAATTAAAATCGTTATCCTTCGGATTTATTGCGTCCTCGACCATAAATGCCGGGACACCGGGTCCCAGTAACGAGGGTCGAACGGCTACGTCGGTGTAGAGAGGAGAAAAGGAAATAAGAAGAACTTGCGTAAGACTCTGAGAGAGACGATATATCCGTGTGGTATGATCCCTTGCCCTCCCCCTCCCCCCTTCCTCCCCTTTTCTTTCTAATCGAATTCACCCCTCGGTGTAGGATGCGCGGCCAGAGCAGTCAGAAAGAATCTTGTTCTGTTAACGCGGTGGTATTTTTTGCCCCGTTCTGAATTTCTCAACCCTTTTCCGCGCCCGGCACATGTCTCGAGAAAAAACGTGGGAAGGCATCTGCCCCGTCGGTTGGTACATTCTCTCGATCTCCCTCTCTCTCTTTCTTTCTTCAGATACGTATAGACTCCTCTTCGGTCCCTACTGTCTCTGGACCAACTGATCGGTCCTTTACGTAGTACGTGTATATATGTATATAATACACGTATACCTTTCCCCTTGTATTTTGACGATTCACGGTTGGTAAACCTGATAGGAAAATTGGGTAAAAAAAAATAAATTTATATACGTAGGATTTCACTGATTGAAGGTCTTTTAGAAATTGGTACAATGAACCTGCAGGAAGTCCACGTGAGGTTGCATCAGGTGGAGACTGGTGAACCAAGTAACGGATCAGTTCAGGATCGTTCACCTAATCCCGCAAACCTAATCGAGGCAATAAATATCGGTTTTTCACCTTTTAACAGCAGGCTGCTGCTACTCGGTATATCCTTTAATTAAAACATAATCCAAGCCTTAAGCCCGGTTCAATTTTCAAAAGTCCCTCTCTTCTTCACCCTTTTGCCACGATAAATCTTGTTAATCGCCCGTGCCGCGGATCTTCGTCGAAGTCGTCCAACCTCTTATTTCTTGGCATTTTTTTTCTACGTCATCATTCGCATAAGTCGATCTTTCAATGGCAAAATTTAATAACGATCTGAATTCGATTTTCCGTAACGAACAGAATCTCGAATGGAAATCTTAGCAGTGCAGAGCGTTACGCGTATAGCGGAAGAGACAGGGAAAAGACGAAATAGATTTTTCCAAGAATCCCAGAGGTTAAAAAGTAATTAAAACCTCGGAAAACTCAACATCTTGAGACTACGTAGTGAAATAAAACGAGAAAACAAATGGGAAAACAGCCCATCTTCCGGACTAATCGAATTTCCCGCGGGCCGAGAGAGATATTTCTAGAGATTGTTTTACCCGCTCGCCGTAAATGGCGCTGCCGTCGTACTCGTTAGATCTTTGCATCCCCCGCGCAAAACTTAGCGCGACCTCAGAACAAAAATAAACTACGCGTGTGACGTGTATCTTTCAAGAATTTTATTATCATTCCCTCGCTCGCTCGGCCGTCCCATACGTATGCGTCAGATTGAACGTAGAAAATGACAAGAAAAAATATATTTATAAACTTTTACTTCCTCGGGACGTCCTCGTGAGATCTCTACCGCCTGTCTACAACCCCCTAAGCATATAGCAGAACGGCAATCTGCGTGTCTGCGAAACATTATCCAGCCAAAGAAAGACAATACACTTACAGCGTGCGGGAATACAATATTATAATAGGTTAGGGTGGAAGTGCGGGGGAATGTATATATACATCGTAAAAGGGTACAGGTCGAGAAGTGGGCATGTTACTTCGTACGGCGACGAGGAATCGACGCATTCCCGTTTCTCTCTGCTCGGAGTAGGCCTTGGTATCTGCCACTGGTTAGCAGTTAGTATCCTGCTGGTTGGCATCGGGAGAAACGTGGAATAAGAAACACCGTCTTCTTGTCCATAGAGTCCTAATCTCTATTCCCGCAAACCGCACACCCCATGGAAGAAGGTTGCCATCGCTTTACCCACTTTTACGCCGTATAGCCTTCGCATTTATCTGTAGTTTAACGGTACAAGGGGTTGAATGCCGTGCAACACGATACAACCCTTTCCCAAGGTGGATTGTAGCTCGTCCGAGCGACCGACAACCCCTGTCTCTCTCTCTCTCTCTCTCTCTCTCTCTCTCTCTCTCTCTCTCTCTCTCTCT